AGTTACAGGGACCAGTTACAGGGTATGGGCTCTGCTCAGAGCCATTAGGAGGGACCTACCTCCTTAGCCCAGCAGTTTCCTCGCTTTGGCATAGATGCAGTTTGCATGGGGTCACTAAATAAACAAGTGCTGACAATTTTGCATATTTCCTCAGTGGCATTTATTATGCCTTCATCCAGGCACTGGAGGGCCCTGTTTATTTAAATCAGGAGAATCCACATGTCCCCTACGCCTGGTGCAGAGCAAGCACAGTGCCTACATGCAGCCAGAGCGCAGTCTGAGGAGACCCGTCGGCTTGAAGTTGTCATGGTCCCTGCTCCGCAGCGGAACAGCAGCTGCACGACTCTTATTTTTGTGATGTGGGGCATGTCCGGGTGTGTGGCAGGGGGAACTGAAATGTCTCTGCTGACTTTTTATACCTTCAGATTTTTTTCATTGCTCTTTTTGGAAAAGGGAAGCCCTTATTGGGGCGAATTCATCGGTTTTTCTGTAAATGAGTTTTGTGTGTTGTTTTTTTTTACCCCCACACTCCACTGGTGACTGATTTCCAGTGGTGGAAAGGCAAGATGGCTGAAGTTCTCCTGAAAAAGGAGATTCCCAAAGAGGCCAAGAGGCTTGTGTTTAGGTGAAAAGATTTTCCCCAGTGATGGATATGTGGATGCCCGCGGGAGACCTGAAGGGCCTTCAGAGCACAGGACACGTGGTGAGAAAGCTTTAGGCTTTGAGGGTATATGACCTGGAGCTGCAGTTTGATCAGGGGAAATTTAAAATTTCTGGTCAACTCTACTTTGGGAAATTGGATTTTCATCTTCTGTGTAACCTCATTTCAATCTCCTGTTTAATTTTCTTTGGCTCTTCTTTTATTTATTTATTATTATTATTTTAAGAAATTATTTTTAATAATCTTACATTTTTCTTTTAAATATTCTGGTTTGGTTTTGTTAAAGCTAGTTTGATGCAAAGATCCAGAAGCTGCAAGACAAGGCAATCATGATTTCAGAAAAACTGTTTCTCCTCTTCCAAACTTGTATTCGTGGGCTCATGTCTCATGCTGGTGGCAGTAGGGATTACAGTGTTTATGGTGGCATTAGAAATGTTTATTGTTACAAAGGTCAGTGTGAAATGCACCAACTGCAGGTTTTCACCTTGCAAATACACTTGGCTGTCGGGATCCTGTGGGAATTGTCTTGAGGCTGCAGATTCTGATGTTTCCCGGTCACTTTGCGAAGATACTCTCAGAAGCACCCTCGTGTGGCCTCCTGCCTGCAGTCAGTTACAGGAATCTTTGGCAGCTGCTGGTGGTGGACTCATGGGTGGGCAGTCAGGAGCTCCCTGGGAGCCGTGGGAGTTCTGCGACTGCAATAGTTACTGCTCTCCATATGGTGGCTGTGCCAGGGCACACCTGTTGACACTGTGGGTTCCAGGAACTCCAGACATCAGAGCGTGATGCCCTCTGCTCATAGCACCTCCCCCAAGCCCTCTTTGTTCATTGATTCAAAAACAACAAGAGGCAGGAAGCCTTTGCTTGACAAGGTCCTCGAAATGCCCAGCTGGTCACTTTGCGGCCAAGGGTTAGAGGTGGCCATTCCTAGGAGATAGTGGGATCCGGCATGTTCTCAGGGTCTCGGTTCTTCCTCAGAAATGTACATGCAAATCAGGCGGGGTGGAGGGTTAGCTAGTATAGACCTTTCTTTGATCTGGTCTGAGAAGTGTGCCTGTGGTTCAAGTCTTTCTTGTCCCCCAACTAGAGTGTGACCACAGTGCTCAGACCCCCAAACAACCCTGTGCCCTGAGTTTTTTCTGAAGGCAGAATGCCTGAGGCTGCACTTTGCGCTTAAGAATAGCTGGAAACCCAGTGAGAGACAAGTTTAGGCTGAGTGATGAACAAAGCTGATGTGGCGAGGGTGGCCGTGAGAGTGAGTAAGCAGAGTGTGGGAGGACAGGTGTCCTCTTCTCTGAGCTGTCAGGCCACACCTGGGGTCTGTGGTCAGCACTGGGCATCGCCCGTCATAAGGGGAAGTGAAAGTGGAACTTGTGCAGGAGTAATGCGAGTAGAAAGAAGGTTTGGAGGGATTCAAAACACGTCTTTAAGAAATAGCTGAAGACACTGTACAGGGGACCTACCTGGTATCTGTCTACAGATGCTGGGAAGGGCTGCTACTATTACTGCTACTCATGAATATACAGGGTGGGGCAAAAATAGGCTTACAGTTGTTCATATGGAAAATAATGTAATGATTAATAAATAATAATACAGGAACAAGCTCTGTGTTTTTGCACACTCACAACTGTAAGCCTACTTTTGTCCCACGCTGTATGAGCTCACATTGATTTGGTGCTTACTCAGTGCAAGCTCTATTCTAAGTATTTACATGTAAATTCTCAAATTACCCTACAAAGTACATACTGTCACCATTATCTTCTTTTTACAGATAAGAACACTATTAATGGATTATAAATTGTGAGTTTCATTGGAAGGCAATGCAAGGAAAAGTGGTGTTTTGTTACCATATTCTTTTGTTTTGCTTTTTAATATACTTTTATTAATTTCAGAGAGGAAGAGAGAGGGAAAGAGAGATAGAAATATCAACGATGAGAGAGACTCATTGATTGGTTACATCCTGCATGCCCCCCACTGGGGATCGAGGCCAGGCATGTGCCCTGAACCAGTGATTTCTTTGGTTCCTAAGTCGATGCTCAACAGCTGAGCCACACCAGCCAGGCAAAAATAGCATGTTTTTAACATCTACTATATGCTGGATATGGTTTGGGGAGTTTCCCATGTATTATTTTCGTTAAATCTTCACAACTATTGTGTGAAACAGGAGTTATAATCTCTATTTCACAGATGAGAAAATTGAGGCCCAGGGAGGTTAAATAAATCATCTGAATACAGGCATTTTTGGTTCTCTGGCCCATTTTCACTGCTACTTAGAACAAAGGTGATGGCGCACAGGTGGTCCTGGGGCACAGGTAACAGGCAGGCTCCCTCTGGTATGCTCTCCCGTTTCAGGCTGAATTCACAGTTGTGAATGTTTCATTCATGCTCGTCTCTCCCACTGGACTGTGAGATGCTTGTGAGCAGTGGCCACACCTATCTTCTTCCATGCTGCATTCCTAGTGCCTAGGGACATCTGGAAGAATGAATGAATACCAGTAGAGATCCCTTGTTATGACAGCGCAAATTAAAAAGAGGGTAACTCATGTCCTATCAGGATGTTGGAGGAAGTTTCTTGTATTACATCAAGGAATGAATTATTAGTGGTTCTCACCTCAGCACAGTTTCCGAATCACCTGAGGGATTTTTATAAGTCCTAGGATTCCTAGGCCAACATTAAATCCCCAGAACCAGACTGTCCAGGTGCAGGGCCTGGGTACCTGTACTTTGCATTGTGACTTGGCCAGGTCCAAAAGCCCCCACGAATGCATCTGAGTTTGGGGTTCTCTGACTCCACGTCATGTGTTCCTGGGGCTCTGAGACACCCCTTCCCACCACTTCCTGTTGCCTTCTCCACCTGCTGAGCCCCGAGGCCAGGCCATGTGTGTGCCTGGAGCACAGATGGAGGTCTGGTGCTGAGTTGGGCACGGGAGCTTATCAGCTGGGTATTTACCGAGCAAAGTTCAACCCGGGCAGTGCTGCGGATCCGGATTTAACAGATACCCAGGCTTCCGGGCTTTTGATTCAGAGCCCAGTCCCTGTGGCCCTTATCGGTGGATGATAATGAGTTCTAAGGGCCAGGGCTGCATGTCACCCTGGGCTGTGGACTGTCGGGGCAGGCAGATGGTCACTGCCCAGTGATGGCTGCTGCGGACTTGCTCAGCCAGGACAGAAAGAGCCCTGTTGAGCTCCACGCTTTAGTTTCCTGGCTTTGATGACAAAAGGCAGAGGGGACCCTCTCTCCGCAGCAAGCCTAGAGACCCAGGCACATGGGTCACCATTGGGTATTTGTCATGTATCCCGGGAGCCATGGGGAAAGTGGGAACCGTTTGCTCCAGCCCATTCTAAAGGCTCAGGAGAGGGGAAGGGAAGATGATTGACAGACAGCACATTTTAAATTATCCCCCAATCAATGACTCAGCAAATAACTTACTAAGCTTATTATGAATATGCCACTTGGGAAGGTTTAGAGAAATAAGGTACAATATCTGACCTTGAGAAGTTTAGAATCTAGTTAGGGGCATTAGAAATTTACACCGAAAAAGATAACTAATTATTACATAGCAGACTAAAAATGTATTGAATGCTTACCCTGCATCTGATTTTATACTAAGCATATACTATGCTTCCCATTTACTATGTCAGTGATTCCTTATAACATTCCTTTAATAGAAAATTGTAGGGTCAGAAGCACAGAGAGGTATAGTAACTTGCCCAGGATCACACAGTTCGAGAATGTCACAGAGGAAGGTTTAGAGGCCTGTGCCATCTGACTCAGAGTCCCTGCTCTAACTGTCATCCTCTGCTGCCCCCTGTGATGAATACTAACCAGGTCTGGACGGGCTTGAGAGGCAGTAGGATGAAACAAGTTCTGTGGGCTGCAGGGGTCGGCCAGGAACGGTGCACCAGTCTTGGTTAGGAAGAACCAAGGGGCTGAGGAAAGTGAGAGGGAATCCAGACCACGTGACATCTCAAGCAAAGATGAAGCGGTGAGACAGGCAAAGAACATGAGGAGAAGTCTAGGTAGACCTGGCTGGAGTCAGGGTTTATGTCACAGGCAGCGTGCACAGGGTTGGAGAAATGGATCACCCATTGGCATCACCCTCTGGGGCCCTTTCAGTCTAGACGAAGGGGCTCGGTGTTAATCGTCTGGGTGGAGGGGAGCCACAGAGGGCTGGGGCAGGAGGAGTGACAATACAGGAGAAATATGCTAGGAAGTCTCATGTGGCCCTCTGCGCTCAGACGCCGCTTAGGTGAGCAGGCAGAGCCTTGAGGAGAGAGACACTTTGAGGTGGGATTTGACCGAGAAGGGAGATGAGCCCCCGGGACACTGTTTCCACAGCCACAGCGCCAGATCAAGCCCCGGCCCCGGCCCGGCCGTACCAGGGTGTCCGCGTGAAGGAGCCAGTGAAGGAACTGCTGAGGCGGAAACGTGGCCATGCCAGCAGCGGGGCGGCGGTGACACCGACCGCGGTGAGGGGGCCACAGGGGCCGGTGTGCGTGGGGGTGGGATGGGAGAGGTGGGGCAGGAGTGTGCTTCCTTGCCCCATGGGATGCTCGTGGGGCACGAAGGCAACCCTAGCCATGGTTATGGCTGCCAGAGAATGGACTTAGGGTAGAACAGGTTGGTGGGTTCATGAAATGGGATGAGGGATGCGGGCTGGCTGGCTGGCCCACTGAACGAAGCTAAGGCCTAGTGAGTGAATGGCTCCCATATCCTGGTGCGAGTTGATCTCCCCACCCCCAGGAAGAGGGCAATGCCAGTTCCCCAAGGGCACAGCCTTCTTGCTAAATGGAAACAGGAACCCCTCAAAAGTGTCGCTGGGGGTGGTTGGGATGGGGGCAGGTATTTTGTGCTAACAAGGCTGATTCTCCCCTATACGCTCCTGCCCTGGGGCCCTCGGGGCACATTTCCTGCAGGGGGCGAGTTGGAGATGGCTGAACACTGACCCTGGTCTTCTTCCCCCGCAGGTGGTGCTGCCCCATCAGCCCCTGGCCACGTACACCACAGTGGGTAAGCGCTCCCCACAGCCCTGGCCTCCTCCAGGCCCCTCATCTGGCAGCCCTGCAGCTCTGTCATTTCCTTCTTCCCACAGGTCCTTCCTGCCTTGACATGGAGGTCGCTGCCTCCACCGTGACGGAGGAGGGGGCCCTGTGTGCCGGCTGGCTCTCTCAGCCTGCCCCTGCCACCCTCCAGCCCCTGGCCCCGTGGACACCCTACACTGAGTATGTGTCCCATGAAGCTGTCAGCTGCCCTTACTCAGCTGACATGTATGTGCAGCCGGTGTGCCCCAGCTACACTGTTGTGGGGCCCTCCTCTGTGCTGACCTACGCCTCCCAGCCACTCATCACTAATGTCACGGTATGTCACTCAAAGGTGGGGCTGAACCAACCCATGTCTAGGGCACTCTTGTAGAACATGGCTGGCTTCTTGATTCTTGATCTTTCTTGTTACTGATTCCCAGGATAATTAGGTCATCTAAACTCACCTCGTCCTCCTGGGAGGCCTGCTCACATTCCCATTGACCTAAAATATCCTCCACAAAGAAGGCTATGACCTCCCTTGCCACGCCCAATGCTCCTCGGGGTTGGGATGTCTGCTTCTCTGTCCTGAAGCATCCCTGCTGCCCTGTAAGCAGCGAAAAGGTTCCACGTGAGATCTTGATGGGGTCTCCTGCCACAGCCAGACTTTTCTTTCTATTCAGATAAATGAATGGGTGATCACTCACTGAACAATGGGATTTACCAGAGATTTCTAGGCGGAGCAATAGGCGATACACGTTTTCAGAAAAGTGTACTTTTGATGGAATCTGACCCACCTGTAGGTCAGATTTTTTGAATTATGCCTCTAGTGTCAGATGGTTTGGATTCAAATCCCTGGCCCTCGGCTAAGTGACTTAATTTCTCTGAGCCTTTGTGTCCTCATCTGTAAAATGGGAATACTAACAAGAGAGTTGATGTCAGGATCAATGGGATGATGCTTGTAGAGGTCTCAGCATAGTTCTTGGGCTTAGCATAGTTCCTGGCATACAGAAAGCACTTTATTAATGCCAATTTTTATAATTGTCTCAAAGTCAACCAACAGCATTAACCAAGGGCTGCCTTCAAGTGCCCAATAGGAAAGGAATGGCCTGTTCCCAGGAATGAAGGAAGGAATAGAAATAGTTTTATGTGAATGGTACCCGTTTGATCAAAGACCTGGGAATCCCCCAAATGTTCAAGAGGAGAAAAGTCCTCTGGTTACAACTGTGTCCAGCTTTAGTCCCAAGAAAACGGGAGGTGAACTTGGGGCCTCATGAGTAGTTGTAGAGCCCACCTTGATGATGAAGCTTGCTTTGGTTCTCTAAGACTCCTGCATTTCCCTCAAGCGTTAAGTGTTATCCTGATGCCCCTGCCCTTCAAGTCTCATCCAGGCATGGCCTGCAGGAGCCCTCCTACCCCATGCTCATCTGATTACCCAGCAAACCGGTTCTGGGGCCTGGATGGTGGTGGATAGAAAGGAGTTAATTCAACACCTTTCCCAGGCAACTAACTCATTTGCATATCAGAGTGCTTGGGGTGGGAGTGGGGGTGGTAGATTTAATGGTTCCCAACCATTTCATGACCAAGGATTCTTTTCATTATTTATCCTTTCATCATTCCCACCTCCTGCTTTGAAAGTTTCTGTGTATCAAACAAGCTATATTTATTAAGAAATAATTTATTTGTTTTGCCACTTTGTAAATTGACTCATCAAAGCTGGTTAGAGCTACCCAGTGGGCACTCTTGATCAGCAGGAGATAAGATCTGTTATGGTACTGGGTTGCTGTAATTCTATCCCTGAGCAAAATAACCTGCAGTTGTAGTAGACCTGCACAGGTTTATAACTCAAAAATGAAGGGTTTCCTTTGGATTTTTGGAATACTGAAAATAATAAGCCCTTGCTGGGAAGCCAGAAGGCCTCTGAGACCCTTTCCAGCTCCATCATTCCATAGGCAAAAGCCCTTAAGCTTTACTACTTAATTTGTGGTCCCTGGACCAGCCACATGGGCATCAGCTGGGATCTGATTAGACCTGCAGAATCCAGGCTCCACCCCTGACCTCCTGTACTGGAATCTCTGTTATAACAAGGTCTCTAGGTCATTGAAATAAGCTCTTCCTAAATAATTATAATAACTTAGTCTCAAAAACATGGTGGCAACCGGAGAGAAATATGACAGGGAAGCAGGAGTGGTAGAGGGAGACTTTGGCCTGTCACACATCATTCCATGCAGAGACATTCCTCTTCCATCTGCTTCCTCAGCGATAGGAGATAGTAAGAATTCAGGCTCTGTCTGTCTAGGAGGCTTGACCTGGGTTTGTAGGGTGGTCCTGTGCAGGTGAGAGGCATTGTTTGCAGAGTCCCTGGGAGCATGGCCTTGATGTTTAGAGGTCTCAGAAATGGCCACAGGGGCCCAGCTGACACATAGAAGATGATGAGGTCATGAGAGGTGAGTGAGCTGTGTTCTGTTAGCCCAAAGGGACCTCAGAGTGCTGCTGCTGCTGTGTGGAGTGAGGACTGTCTTCATCTGTGGGTAGCACTGTGCCACCTTTGTGATACAGCTACTATGCTATGCGGCAGGTTTATTGTTTAACATACAGTATTTTCATCAATTTTAGTATTTCTGAAGTTGGGTTGCATTTTATATTCAATGAAATAGGCTTCTAATGGGATAGTAGCATGAGCAAGGACTTGGAGCTAGTGAGTCACAGAGTAAGGGATACAGCCTGTGTGAGCCTCTCCTGTCAGGGAGGCTTCGCGTCCGTGCAGGTGGAGCCCCCTGGAGTGAGACAGCAGGAAAGAGCCTAGTTGAAAGGAAACAGACCCCCTAGAGGACAAGGGTGGCAGTGAATCCTCCAGGGCTGCTAACCCTCGGTCCTGTGTCTCCCCCATTGCAGACGAGAAGTGCCACCACACCCACAGTGGGCCCCCAGCTGGAGGGCCCAGAGCACCAGGCACCGCTCACCTACTTCCCGTGGCCTCAGCCCCTGTCCACGCTGCCCACCTCCACCCTGCAGTACCAGCCTCCGGCCCCAGCTCTGCCCGGGCCCCAGTTTGTCCAGCTCCCCATCTCTATCCCTGAGCCAGTCCTTCAGGACATGGAAGACCCCAGGAGAGCCATCAGTTCCCTGACCATCGACAAGCTGCTGTTGGAGGAAGAGGATAGCGATGCCTACGCGCTCAACCACACGCTCTCCGTGGAAGGCTTTTAGGGCTGGCTCCCACCTGAGAATCCTGCTCCCTGAACCTGGGATTGAACCTCAGATTTCTATCTGTATGGAGCAGCCATTTCTTAACTACACTTTTTACCCCAGAGTAGAATTGCAAATTGACATCCTTCCTCTCTCCCTCCTTCTCTCCTTCTTTGTTTCCTTCCCTTCTTTCATTCCTCTCTTCCTCTCCCTTTCTGATCCCCTTCCCCCATTTCTGTTCCTTTTGGGGAAGGAATGCTAAGGATTTTAGAGGGAATATTTGATGGCATGTGTTGCAGATCTGTGGTCTGGGTATTTTCATTTCTGCCATGTTTCTTTCCTGGAGACCACCCTTCTTGGGGTGCTCACTACTTCTAGAGCTGCCCTCTGTCATTTTGAAATGTATGGGGTGCCCTGTGGAAAATGGCCCTGCCAGCACCTTCGAGGCCAGACCCAGTGCCACAGTTCTTGAGCCCTGAGTTCCCACAGTTGCTCCTCTGTATTGCCATTCTCAGCATTGGCCAGATTTGCAGTCTGCACAGCAAGGTCTCAAGGCCTAGGGCCCAGGGGGTGGGGGAGACAAAGCAACACCAGCCCTGGTCGGTGTGGCCCTGTTGATTGAACATTGTCCTGTGCACCAAGGGGTTCCCAGTTTGATGACTGGTCAGGGCACATGCCCCGGTTTCAAGTCCAGTCTCGGTCAGGGTGGGTACTGGAGGCAGCTGATGGATGTTGTCTTTTTCTCTCTCTCTACCTTTCTCTCTCTCTCTCTCTCTCACATCAATAAAAACATTTTTTTTTAAAAAAAGGGATGCCAGAGTGGGTTGGGGCATGGTCAGAGGAACAGAAGAGGGATGGGTACATGGTGTGTGTATATGGGGTGTGTGTATGTGGGGTGGGAGGGGGATGTGAGGGGAGGGGAAGGTTGGGTTTTACGGGATAGTAGGAGAGTTGAGGAATGGTTTCACTCCAGATTAGTTGGTTATTAAGAATAAACTTAAGAAAACTTGTCTTACGTGGTTTTGCTACTTTCTTTGAGGAAACTTGCAAGGAAAGCTGAGCTCTTATAAACAGGAAGAGGGGTGTGTCTGGCTGCTTCTTCCATCAGACCCTCTGTGGTGCTGTGTGGAGGCCCAGACCCACTGAAGTGGCGACTGCATCCTGGTTTAGTGCTGTCACATGTGCTTCTGTAGTGTCCTAAAAGCCTCCAGAAGCCACCGACATGTGGAGCCAAGTCCTCTTCCTGGAGCACCATGCTTCCTGGGAGCCTCTGCAGCCTCGGCCAGAGGACCGTTAGATTTCATTTTCTTTTGTTGTTGTTGTTTTTTGTTTGTTTGTTTTTTAGCTGGAGAAACATCAGACTCACTGGGGCCTGGAAACAGTTGTCACTGGGAGTGCTCAGCTCCTGACAGTGGCTGTGTGCTTGGGGACCTGGCGCATCTGTCCGCTAATGACATCATTGTCACTGTTAGGCAGACACATCAGTTGGTGGAATTCATGTAGAAATAATGGACTTTTCTGGGAAATGACAGTTTGACACCCCCATTTAAAATGAAAACTGGAGAAAGTTGCCTTTAAAAAAATTTTTTTTTCTGCTTTGGGTTTATTATGACCCACATTTTTCAGTATCTGAGTAAAATCCCAATACAAATATCTTGAGTTATTTTTATTTAGACCTAATTTTTAGATGTAGAAGCTTAAGTAGCATTTTAGATGATGAAATTCCATCTTTGTTGCTAGTGATGTAGGGCCTGGTGATCATTAAGTACCTTGGTTTCTTATAGAAAACACTATGCAAGATTTTTCAGCTCACTGTTTGAGAATTTGAGGGGGTGCGGAAGCAATCTCCATAAGGGAGTATAAATTGACAAAAACTGGCAAAGAAATAAAGTATTTCACGTATTTAAATGGTGTCCTTTTTCTTGTTGAGGTAAAACGTTTTGATTGCAGTAGCCCATCCAGGTTTCTTCCTGGTTGTTTTCTGCTAAAATGGAAACATTTGCAATAAAGACTTGCTCAGACTTTCCTGTGCTGAAGTGTTTTATTTCTTATCAAATCAATCCCCTGTGGGTGCAGGCCCATGTCTGGTGGTGTCATTATAGGAAGGAGCACCACAGAGGGTCTGATGGAAGAAGCAGCCAGACACACTCCTCTTCCTGTTTTTAAGAACTCAGCTTTCCTTGCAAGTATCCTCACTGGTCTTGTTGATGTTGCAACTTGATCTGTTGCAAAGTTCTCCCAAGCAGAATATTTGAGGCTGGTAGGTGGGTCTCCAGGAAAGCAAGGATCTGAGGAGAGGAAGGGAATCTTTTAACCCTATTGCTCTTCCTGTCGGTCACATTCCATGAGTAACTTCTCATGACCCTGGGTGTCCAGGGGTACGTTCAGCCAGTGGCATTTCCACAGCAGGCTGTTAAAGTCCATCAGTCAGAACCCTAGGGCAGGTGACATGATGCAGAATGCTATGCCTGCAGGGAGCCAGCTCATAGAGCCAGACATCACAATGGAATGGAAATTTAAACCAGCTGGTCCCCTCTAACACCAATCCTTTTCCTGGTGATTTTCTGAGTTCACTAAGAGCTTCTTAGCTCACTGCCTTCATTGTTAATCTTTACTGAGTAATAATTATTTTTAATAATCCACCTAATTCTTCCATAGCTCTTGTTTTCAGATTTATTTATTTATTTTTTCTTATTCTCCATATTGTTCATGATCCAGAAAAAAAATACATGGAAGAAAAGGGATTTGAGATATTTTTTCCCCTTAGCTATTTTTTAAAAAGTCCTCATTGAGAATATATTTATTGATACGAGAGAGAAAGAGGAAAAAGAAAGAGAGAGGAAAACATCAATCAGTTGCCTCTCATATGTGCCCTGACCTAGATATGTGCCCTACCCAGGACTTGAACCCGCAAACTTTTGGTGTATGGGATGATGCTCCAACCAACTGAGCCACCTGGCTGGGGCCTCCCTACCTTTATTGGAGAAGACCTTTTAAAAATGTGAAAGAAGTGTGAACCACTTGATTAGCAAGGTGAGGAGAGTGTAGATTGGTGCTTTACCAGTGCTGATCCCTGAGTCTGTGTAGCTCCAGCATGGCCGTGAGGAGCAGGAAGGAGATGAGCATGTGGTGTGATGAAGAAGCTGGACACCTACTAAAGAATGAAATCACATTAAGTGGCTCAGATTCTCTGAACATTAGTCTGCACCCACCTCCATGTGGAAGTTTGAAGACTTGCACTAAAGCTAAACATAAATTTTTAGAAATCATAAATCATAGATAACTTATTTCATATTAACGTACTTCATTTGTGAGTCAAATATGAGGCACTCAGTAATTCCTCAGTTTGGCTCAGTGGATAGAGCGTCGGCTTGTGGACTGAAGGGCCCCAGGTTTGATTCTGGTCAAGGGCATGTACCTTGGTTGCGGGCACATCCCCAGTGGGGGATGTGCAGGAGGCAGCTGATTGATGTTTCTCTCTCATTGATGTTTCTAACTCTTTATCCCTCTCCCTTCCTCTCTGTAAAAAATCAATAAAATATATTTTAAAAAAATTCCTCATTGAATTGAATTAATTTGGGAGGTTCTCTATTACATTTCCTTTTAGGAAATACTCATGTGGATGACTGCAATTGATTACAGTGATGTCTCCTTCGCTAGACTTATAGATACATGATGCTTCTCAGATTTTTTTTCTGAGTTTTTGCTTGGGTAGAAATCTTTCATAACTGATGCTCTTAATCTACTCATCAGTTCTTCCATTTATAGCTGTGGTTTCTGTAGAAGGGCTTTCAATTTTTTTAATTAAATTTTTTTAATGTTGGTAAGAACACTTAAGAGATTTAGTAATACATTTTAAGTGTACAATATAGTATTGTTATATATAGGCACAATGCTGTCCATCAGATCACAAGAACTTACTCATCTTGCATAACTGAAATTTTATGCCTGTTGCCTGTCACCCCTTAATTTCAGCACCTAAAAATGACAATTCTATTCTTTGCTTCTCTGAGTTTGACTACTTTAGATGCATCACATAATTAGAATCATGTACTTTTTGTCCTTCTGTGAATAGCTTATTTCACAGAATAATGTCCTCAATGCATAAAGAAAAAT